CGCCTCGTCGAAGCGTGTCTTGAACTCATTCAGACGGGTAATCTCCGCCCACCAAGCGTCGGGGTCGTTGCCGACGTAGGATTTCAGCAGACCGCCCATAATGAAGGCGTATAGTTGCCGAAACTTGTCAAGGCAGGCGGAAACGCTCGCCCCTTTAGTTGGTGTTGGTGTTTGCATTTTCTGTAATCAGTTTTTTGCAGAAGTCCCGTACCTTGTAAATCGCCTCTTGATTGTCGGCGATGTCGGTAAGGCAGTCCATTATCTCGTCTATGCCGTCGGGAACTGCATCCGCCTTGTCGTTGTGGTGTATGCTTGCGACACCACTTCTGCTTAGTTCACCGAGAAACTCGGCGAGGTTCTGAGGGTCGTGCATAATCTGATAGGCGGCGAGGTTCTGCCTCAAGTTCCAAGTATCCTTTGACTTGAATAAATAGGATGTCACCAACCCCTCAAATATGCGCTTGTGGTCGCCCGTCAGTACCACCGCCACGCCGTCAACATAAAAGAGGGCGGGGGTTTTGTTGTCTTTGCAGATAGACTCGGCGAACTTAATCGCCGAGGTCAAATCCTTTTTTTCGTTGCTTGCCATTTCGGAATTAGAATGGGAGTTCGTCAGTTTCGGGGACAGACTGCTGAGCGGGTGCGCTTGCGGTCTGAGCCGATGGTTGTGTGGCACTATTGCCGTTGGTTCCGCCGTTTCCGTCGGCGTTGTTCTTGCTTGCGCCCTTTTCAAGGGTGCGGACGTTGATGAACGCCCTCTTGACCTTGTTGCCGTTCTTGTCGGTGTACTCGTCGTACTCCAAAGAGCCGTGGATGATAACTTGGTCACCCTTGCCTACATATTCCTTGGCGAACTTGGAGTTCCACGCCTTGCAGTCGTGCCAGCGTGTTTCTTTGTCCCATTTGTCGCCGTTCTTTTTGCGGTATTGCTCGGCAAGGCTGAAATTAACGACGAATGTACCGCCGTTAAATTCCTTGGTTTCAATGTTGCCGACGTTGCCCGTAAGTGTTGCTTCGTTCATTGGTAAAAAAAATTATTGGTTTATAAATCAATGTTTGCGAGGTCTGCCCACTCCTCATACGGGTACTCAATTCCGAGGTCGTCAATGAGCGCCCAACCGTTCTTGTCGGAGCGGTCGTTGTTTATACTACTGATTGTCGCCGTTGAGTTCGTCAAGCACCGCCGAAACGTTGAGATTGCCGAATAGTCCCATATTCTCAAGGTCAAGGATAACGTCGTCGGGTGTGCCGTTGACCGAAAGGACTCTCACGGCATTTTTAGCCGAGATAAGGTCTTGAGAGTCCCAAGTAACGCCGTTAAATGTTGTTGTGTTGGTTGCCATATTCACCTCCTTTTTTTAGTTTATATTTGGGTTGTCAGGCTGATTGTCGTCACGCTTGCGGACAAACCATTTGCCCACGGACGCAACAAACCATATACTGCCCGTACCTCCTACTACCTTAGCCGCCCACTCAAAGGCTTCTGTGATGTCGGCGAATGATACGCCGAAAAATGCTGTTAACAAATCCATTTTCTTACGTGTTTTAAAGTTTGACAACGCAAAAATATTTCAAGTTTTTGAAACTGCAAAATTTTTTCAAGTTTATTTTTGTTAAAAAATGTTAATTGAAAATTAGAATGTTAAAACGCCTTAAAATATGTTAATTTGCTTTGAAATATCAATATTTTGATTTATATTTGCAGTATCAAAATTAACTTTATTATTTAACACGATGAAGACGCTTTCCGAAATAGACAGACAGAGGCTTCGGGCGTGTGGTGAGAAACCGCTGACGCTGACGGACGGCACGTGTGTCGTACGGGTCGCCACGGGTCTGCCTATGCCGTACAAGTGCGCAAAATGTCCCTTCTCGGGGTATATTTGCGGTGCGGTTTGCGGTGAGGGTGTCAGATTCAAAACGACACAAGCAAAATGAAAAGATTGGGATTCTTTGGGGGTCTGCTGATTGCCCTCAGCGCAATGTTTAGTGGGTGCGCCCCTACGGGCGAGTTTGTCCACACCACCGCCGTTACGGCGTGGCACTACCGCCTCGTCGGTATAGACGGCAACGGCAATGCCGTCAACGATAGCACACAACGCACCGAGCAGATGCCTATGCATTGGTACGTTACCAAAAGCGGCGAGGTGTATTTGCTTAGTATTAACGGCGTTAATACTAAAAACGAAAGCACATACACGCACCTCCCCAAGGCGATAGCGACGCTTGAGAGCGGTATAATCACCACCGAGGATGGCGCAATCCACTTTTATAGTGGTGATTTCGATATTTGGCACAATCAGAAACTCGCCGAAAAGAAGGCGGTAGTGCCAAACGAGTAGACAGACACAAAGGGCAAGCAAGGGGGCTAACGTGGCTGAACCTACTTGCCGACACGCCCGTAAGGAATGGACGCAGACCCCAAGGGCGTATTTTTTTTAAATCACAAAAAAAAACAGACACGCACGCACAATGAAAAGGATTTCAGCGACAATCATCACCGCCGTGTTCCTTTGGGCGGTTTCCGTATTTTTCGGCGGTTGCTCATACAAGGACTGCAACCGATACACACTGACGCCCCCGACGGACACCAAGTTCACGACCAACGGCGGAATATCAACCCCCGAAGTCCACGTTCTCATAGACAACGAGACGGGGGTTGAGTATCTTATCGTCAGACAGAACTACGACTATGCCATTACCCCACGCTACAACGCCGACGGAACGCTCCGAACGACCGGGCGACGCTATGGGGACAATCAGTAAAGACTCAGCGCAACCGACAACGGGAGAGCGTAACGGGTGGGAAGCAATTCCGCACCTTGCAGGTGGTTGAGAACTCAGCCACCTTTTTTTTGTTGCTTGCCGTTTCGGCAGAGTTGGCTACAATCAGCATCCGAAAAAAAAGATTTTTCATTAACATTTTTTAACATTATTTATTTGGCAATACTAAAAAATATTTATAATTTTGGGTGTTGAAAGATTAGAAATAGAAGTGCTATCAATCAACCCCCGTGGCAAGGAGAAGCGCCCTTGCCACTTTTTTAAAAGTTTAACCCTAAAAACAAAATAATTATGATTTACGATATATTAAAAAAGGCGGACGACGCCTTCATCAAGGCACGAAACGCCGAAAATGCAAGGCGTGAAGAGCAAAAACGACAAGCTGAAATTGCCGAAAATACAAGCCATTACAACACCCTTGTAAAATACGCCCAAAAGTTGGGTATGCGTGGCGTTAATTGGGACGGCAAAAGTGATTTTTTTGATGTCGTTGGAGCGGATGGTCGTTTTGAAACTTACGGCTGTTTTGCTTACTGTATCAAGGATTTGCAAAAACGTGGATAAAGTTTTACCCTAAAAATAAAAGCAATGAGAAAAAAAGAAAAAGAAAGACAAATGCCGAACCCTTGGATGGGGACGATTTATGTTTGCGAGCAGACGTTGGTGGCAATCGCTAACTACCGCAAAAACCCGTCAGAGGCGAACCTTTGCGCCCTTGCACCTTGTTTTAATATGACCGAGGACGCAATAAAGCGAATGAACCCAAAGAACCTCGCAAAACGTATAGCGCACCAAGAGGAGGTGGCAAAAGAAAACATTAAAAAACGTAGCAGACGTTAGAAAACAAAATAAAAATTTACCCTAAAAAACACAAAAGAATGAAAGAAAATAAAGGAAAGAAGTGCAAGTTCTGCGGAACTCTGATGGACTGCAAGGTTTTCAGAATTGAGGAGGGCGCTTGGTGTCCCGCCGAGGAGTTCGATGTCTGCCCGAATTGTGGGGCAACTTACGACTTTTTGGAGGGTGAGGGGGAATGGCTGACCCTTGCCGAGCAGATTGAGCGGAGCAAGGCATACGACGAGTATTTTAAGACACACCAAGGACAAAACACCACCCAATACCACGGAACAACCGATGGCTTGCCTTGGTGAACACTTGAAAAAAAAACACAAAAAAAACGGGATTGACTGAATTTCAGCCGACCCCGTTTTTTTATCTCTCACCGCTTAATGTTCCGACGAAATGGCTTTCGGGCGTTCTGTCAGAGTCGCAATAAGGGGTGTTCTCAAACACACACTCATTGCAGATGTTCATACACGGATGCTTTCGGTTTGTAACGAAAGTTACCGCCAACTCCACCGCCTTGCTTCGGTTCTCCCCGAGGCGTTTCGCCAATGTGTCAAGACGTGAGTCCGCCTCCTCTGACAATGAGATAAGGCGCTTGATGCGTCTGCCCGGTGTCTTTGGTCTGCCCTTGCCTCGCCCGGTCTTTGGCTCGGCGTGGCTTTTCAGCCAATCCTCCACCCCGTCATACGGCACGAAGTCGTCCCTATCCCAATTCGGGGCAATGTAAAGACGGACGACGGGTTTCGCCCCTATGGTGTCGAATTCGTATTTGACTTTTTGAAAGCGACGGCAAAGCGCCACAATTTCCTTTTGCTCGGTGTTATATTTCATTTTCTGCGTTGTTTTCGTTTTCGTTTTCGGTGTTGGTTTTTATTCTATCAGCCATACCCAAGAGGTGCTTGGCTAAAATATCGTTCTCCTCGTCGGTGTCGGCGTTGCCCACGTTCGGAACAAACCGCCGACAGATTGCGAGGCTCAGTCCAAGGGCTCGGCACGTCTTGACGTGGAGGCAGTGTTTGGCGCAGTCAAGTGTCATAACTCCTCCCCGTATTCGTCAAACATTGCGACGCATTCGCCGTTCGGGTCGTACTCCTCAATAGTGCCGTGGGTGTCCGCCGTCAGTCGCTTGTCGGCGTTCAAGTCCTTGACGCATTCCGTCAGAGTAAAGAAACCGCCCATACGGGCAACCTCGGTCTCATCCTCGTCGTTGGTGTCTATGTAGTAGATAAAGCGGTTCAGTTTCGACTCGTCGCCGTGCCAATAACCGCACCCGTCCCCCGTCTTTCGGTTGCAGAGGTCGCACTCCTCACGGCGCACACACCCCTCGCATTTGCTTTTCAATTCCGACAATCTCATATTACTCCTCCCTTTTATTTTAGTTTCGCAATATCGGCTATATACGCCCAACGTTTCACCTCGTCGAACACGCACAAAGTACAGCCACACCAAAAAGGCTTGCCGTCCAATAACAAGGAATTCATTATTATTATTTCTCCCGTGCCAAATTCGACAAGGCAATCAACCCCGCCCTCATCTTTGGCAATCTCAGGCTTGTCGTCGGGGTTGCTTGTATCGTGCCATACTGACTCCGCCTCGCTTGGGTGAATGTCGGCGAGCCACTCCCTCAAATCGTGGCAGTCCTCCTCAAAGTCCGAGTGTGAGTATTCCTCGCCGTTGATGCATATATCGTATGCGTCAATGTCATCGGCGTTGTCCTCCGCTATCTGCAAGGCTGAGGATATGGTCTGATACTCCGCCTCGGTGAGTTCAAACCTATAAGTCTTTTCGTTTTGCTTGTTGTCCATTATTCCACCTCCCTTAATTCTACTTTTACAACTTTTATTGTGTCTTTAACCACCCACGCCCCGATTGTGCCGAGGTTTGTGTGTCCGCACTCATTGATTGCAGAAAGCAACGACTGAGGGGTGGGGTATAGGTTCACCAACCCGAGGGTTGAAGTGAAGTCGGGAATATCCCCGCTCTTGTAAAAGTACCCCTTGTCGCACTTGCCCGCAAAGACCACCGCACACGCTCCGCCGTCGGGGTTTCTCGGCTCTGCCTTCTGTCTTATATCCTCGGCGAGCGCATCCAACGGGAATGAATACGGATAACTATCCTCATCGCCGTTGGGATAGAACACGCCAAAGCAGTCGGGGTAGTAATTGACCTCCACGCCCTTGAATTTCTCACTAAGGGCGGTCACGGCGTAGCGTTTCTCCTCAGTGTCGTGCTTGTCGGCGTATTCGTCACATTGAAAAATATCGGGCTCGGCGATAGGAACGAAGGGGTTGCCATTCTCAGCCTCGCAGTAGTGCTTGTCCGCACTCTTAGTGCAGAATGAGCACGTCTTGCAACTGCATTTTGTTTCTCTTGTGTAGTTTTTGCTCATTTTAGTTGGTTTTTTCGTTGATGATGTTCAAAAGGAACTCCGCCGCCTCCTTTCGTGTCGGGGCGTAGCACATAACGTCGTGTCCGTGAATGTGTCCGATATGAATAGCGTCCACGTATTCGTGTATCATATTCTGATTGTATATGGTCACGTAATGTGGCTCGTTAATCCGCAAGCGGTGAACCCTTGGCTTGTCGGGGTCTATGTGGTACTGCGGAAACCCCATTAATTTGAGCGCACGGGCGGTTTCGTAGTCCACCCGATTGCTTGGTCGTGCCATTGTCGTTTCGTTGCTCATAAGTCTAATTATGAAAGGTTAAACATTGTTAGTATTTTGTCGTACACCTCGTAGGAGGTGTTGTCTTCCTCTGCATCCGTGCCGTCGTCGCCGATGTCCCCGACGTGCTGACCGCTTTTGACCAAATCATAGGTCTGCGATATGGCTTCAAGCACGATGTCCCGCATCTTGTCGGTAGGAACGGCATCCGCCACGCCGTACTCGGTCAGATACTCCGCCATACTGACCGCCTTTGCCTTTGCGGTGTTAATGTCGGTCAACGCCCGAAAGTCCGTCCCACTCATTTTTGAGCAGTCACGGGGCTGAGGAATACGCCCCAAGGTGCTTGCAATTATTTAAAATTGCTTTATTATGTCACTCGTTCTCATTTCTGTATCTGTTTTTTTTGATACTGCAAATATAATTCAAGTTTTTAATATATCCAAAAATAAAGTGTTAATAAATGTTAACGAAACGAAATTAATTTATTTTTCGTTACTTTGCGTCGTCTTAATCGCTGAAAGCAAGACACAAACGCAAACGCAAACCAAATTAAACACAAGACGAAATGGATATAAGGCAACTAAGGTACTTCGTGACTTTATCGGCGACTTTCTCGTTCACGGAAACCGCCCGTCAGTGCTGTATCTCTCAGAGCGCATTGTCGCAACAGATAAAAAGCCTTGAGGAGGAGTTGGGCATCCGTCTGTTCGACCGCTCGCACCACAGCGTGAAACTGACAAGCGACGGAATGCAGATACTGACCAAGGCGAAACGGGTTCTCTACGATATGGAGGATTGTCTGACCACGATTTCGGCGGTCAAGGGCGGAAAGTTGGGCGGTGAACTGAACATAGGGCTGACGTACAGCCTTGAGCCGTATGTGCGCCCCGTGCTGATTGAGTTTCTGCAAGCGCACCCCGCCGTCAAGGTGAACGCCCACTACAAGAACCTCCCCGAACTGCTGAGGAAACTCGGGAACGGCGAGATTGACATAATGATTTCGATGATGCCGACAAGCATCCACGACTTCTGCCGTTCCGTGCCGATTATGCGATACCGCCTCGGCGCTGTTATGCGTCAAGGTCATCCGCTCGCCAAAAAGAAAGCCGTGACGTTCTCAGACTTGCAGAAGTACGAACTCATTCTCCCCGAGCGTGGAATACGTGACAGAAACGCCATAGAGAGTTACATCCACAAGCCGACGGGCGACTTGAACATACGCTCCCTCGTCAACGATGCGAACGCAATCCTAAACATATTGGAACACACGGACTATATCAGCATATTGGCGACCAACACCACCAAGACACGCCCGAAACTTCAGGTGTCGGTCATTGACGAACTGAAGGACACTATTCAGATTTACTGCCACACAAACACAGAAATGACACGGAAACAGAGCGCCGAGTTGTTCATCAAGGCACTCGCCGAAAGTTACGCCGTTCAGTTGTCAAAATTCGACGACGGCGACCAATGACCCGAACCCGACACGATACCCGAACCCGACACGATGCAGAAAACAAAAAAAGACAGAAGACCGACAAGCGCAAGCAATGACACGCCGTCCGTCCTCTGTCTTTCCTTTTATTATATTCCCGTTATGAACTTGCCGTTCCCGTCGCAGTTTATCAATCCGAACCAATGCGGAGGGTTCAAGTCTATGAAACCAACCTCGCCCGTTGCCTTTGTCGGCTTGTCCTTCAGCCATTCAAGGTCACGGAGCGCCCGTTCCTTGTTGCTCCTTGCCATAGCCTCCACCCGTGGGAGGTCTTCTGTCGGGATTGCCATCTTCTTTGAGGTCAGACCAATGCCGTCCTCGTCGTAGATGAGGCAAAGCACACCGCTCGTCGTCAAGGCGTACGGAATGTCCGCCCCGTATCTCTGATAGTCGGCAAGCGGACTCGGCTCAATCACCAAGTCCAAAAGCGACAGCAACGCCTCCACCTTTGCGTGGCTCAGCGTGTCCTTGCCTTTCAGAAAGGCGTACACGTTGTTGCTCGGAATGTCGGCAAGTTGCGCCAACTTGTAGGCACTCCAAGCACGCCCGGCGAGTGCCTTTTTGATTGCGTTTCTAATCATTTATTCAGCCATTTTTTTATGGTTAGTATTTGCGCCTTCGTAGTAACGCAAAGGCTTTGCTCAATTCCTATGGTGCCGCCCAGCGTGGTGGCGTATGTCTGCTTGAACTCGTCGGAGGGGATGATGCAGAAGTCCGTCCCCTCAAAGCGAAACCGCACCGAGTCCTCGCAATCGGCGCAAGCGTCTTCAACCCTCTCAAGGAATAGTTGGTATAATATTTATACTATGCAAATATTTTAACATTTTTTAATAAAAAAAAGCGAGTAGAAGTCTGACCCCTACTCGCTTTTTTATTGGTAATCTTAGGAAATTATCGGTAAATTTCCAATCACCTCGAATTCGATGTGTTTAAATCTGATACCGAAACGGATTTCGCCATCAAGCAAAAACCCACTCTCAATCAGCGACTTGCAAATTTAGCGGATTTACTCTGCAAGCAAGATTAAGGCACATACTCCGTAAACTCACCACTGCCATCGTTGCCGTAGAACTTTCCGCTCACACTATCGAAAAAGCCTATCTCTCCGACCTTTCCGCCTTTTCCGTTGTGGGTGCAAGTTGGTTCGATTGTGTGGAGTAGGCGGATAGGGATGAGGTTGAGGATTGTTGTTGAGACTTCCGAAATCTTGAAGGACTTAATGTAACCGCTCATTCTTTGTGGTGATACTCCATAACGCCTATCTCGCATAGTAAATAAGAACATAGGGTCATTGGAATATATACGGCCATCAGTTGCTTGCTCTACACCATTGCAAATGATTTTTCCGTGGCTATCAGATATAGAGTATTCTGCTGATTTGTCGAAATATACATCCTTGTATTCTGCGTCATTGCTATATCTAAAAGCTAATTGCACTTGTGTCAAGAAACACGAATTTGAGCCATTTCCGAAACTTGTTGTATATGTAACGCCATATACGCCTGGATATTCTCGCTTTGTCGGATTTTGCGCACATAATACAGCATCTATCTTGCTATTCTGATTGCGGACGTATCTAAGATCAATCCAAGGTGTGCCATCGGAATAAACTCCCTCAATCCTCTCATAGTCCTCCCCCTCTATGAGATAGTCCGACACGCTGAAACTGCCGCTACTTGCAACATTACCAAAGCACCACGGCAGTACTCTGCGTTGATACCACTGCTTAACAAACACAGCCTCGCCTTGCTTACGAGCGATTCCGTTGTTGTCCTCTGATGCGAGGGTGGGGCGGTCGAGGACGGCTGGGGCGAGGGTGCGCCCGTCAATGTTTAGATTGCAAACTCTGAAATTTTTTGGAGTTCTGTCAGCATCTGATAACTTGAGCATTTTGACCGCATATTTCTCCTCGGCGAAATCATAGGCAACATCATCAACGTAATAGACCGAACCTCCTTTATTTTCTATCGTTCGTGGTGTGCTGAAATCCAATTTTCTGACTGGTTTTGTGTTCTGCCAATAAAAACAATCGTACTCTCTGCGATAATTGCTACGAAATGAGAATCTATTTAAATAGTTGCTCGAATCATTGAAAATTGCAATTTGCGATTGATTATAAATAGAGTAATCCGCATCACTATCGTATGTGAATTTGAATGAGTTGCAAGCACCAAAATCAATTTGAGCACCTAATAATCCATTTCCTGCCGAGTTTTTTATTGTATCAGTCCAAACAAGCCATCTATGACTTGTCCACGGCAAGTTCTTTTCCCAAATCAATTTCAATCTCTCCCCATTGTCCGCAAAAATCTGAACAGACCTATGCAATGTCCCCTCTACATCGCAATAATGGTCTATGAGTGGCTTATCCTGCCAATAGCCGAGAAATGCACCCTCACAAGTGAAACTACCGCTACCTTGGTTAAAGTATAGGTCTCCGCTGTTGAGGTCTATCATACAACATTCGCCTATGGGGTGGTTGTCATAGGGTAAAGCAAGTTCGCAAGGGTGGAGGTGGATTGCTCCATCTTGTTTAATCTCTCCTATCCATTGCGGTGAATTCGAATTATTGCATAAAATTTGTGTTATGCTTGTTTCCTCAAATGGCAAATCAACAACATTATTTCCGCATTTGATTTTCGTGCGATATACTTCGATAGTATTTTCTGTTCCTAAATTGATTGCGTGGTTGTCATAATAATACGCCCATCCATTACTATTAATCTGCAAACGTCTATAAGTTTCGGAAAATCTTACCAAGTTCCAGTTAGGATAGTTATTGATTGGTGCGCTGATATACGTAGGGATAGTATCTGATAGCGGTGTTACTTTAGTTATAATATCCAACGAGTAATCATCGCTACGCTTTATCCACTCCCTCAATCTCACCGCCTTTGTACTCTCCTTACTGATAATATTATTGTAGCAAGGAGTAGTGTCAATAATCTCACCTGCCTCTCCCTCAACGGAAAAAGCACCTGAGCCTTGGTTGAAATACAAGGTGTTGGTGAGTACATCAACCATACAGCACTCTCCTGCTGGATGATTCTGATATGGGGATAGGAGTTTGCAAGGACGGAGGTGGAGAATTTCTGTTCCGTTATCCTCAATAATGAAATAATTGCAAGTATGGTAGCGTGGGATGGCTCTATGTCCCTCAAACTGAAATACCTCAATCGTTACTTGAATATCTCCACTTAGCCTTTCAAAATTATAATTTTCTCCGTTGACACTAAATCCGTGTGGAGTATCAACAATTTCCACTATTTCAGTAAATGGCAGTGACCTTGTGTCTAATCCGTCCCAAAATCGTGTTTCAATATCATTATTGTTATTAGCGTTTATATACCAATATCTCGCATTATTCATATGTTGCGGAGCTACTTTTGACGCACCATACATAGGTGGATATTTATTTGTATGAATATCACCCTTTACAAGTTTCCACTTGCTTTTAATGACGTATCTTTTCAAATACGGCATATTGGTATCAATATATGTTAATCCGTCAGCCTTTAAGCCTTCGTATATCTGTACTCTCATATTACTCACCTCCTTTTATCCATAATATCAATACAACTATTGCGATAACAACCGCCAAAATAGCACCTATTCCGCAACCTCTTTTCTCGTTACCGAAATTTCCCTCGGGAAACTCTGGGTGATAATATTGTATCATTTTCCACCTCCTTACTTGTCAAAAGTGATACGTATAAAACCATAAATGGCTATAAATAAGAT